ACAGGGAGGACATGGGGCGGAGACAGGGAGGACATGGGGCGGAGACAGGGAGGACATGGGGCGGAGTCAGGGAGGACATGGGGCGGAGTCAGGGAGGGCAGGGGGCCGAGTCAGGGAGGGCAGGGGCGGAGTCAGGGAGGGCAGGGGGAGGGGTCATGATGGGTGTGGTCTCACCTCGTGCATGGTGAGGTCCGAGAAGAGGATGACGAAGTTCTCCTCCACTCTGACGATGAGGCCGGTGTCGCCCTCGTAGCGCCCAGCGATGACCTTCACGTGGTCGCCCATCCGGAAGTACTTCCTGAGCTCGTGGGCAGGGAACTCCAGCGGGTCCTGCTCAGGAGACGGAGACGGGGTGAGCGGAGAAAGAGGAGGCGGAGCCTCGGCTTCCTGCAGGGCGGTCAGGAGGAAGCACCTTCAGGTCTTCGTGTTTGGGCATGATGGTGATCTTGTTGCCGTCCACGCTCAGGATCTTCCCCTGCAGGTTGATCAACTCTCCCTCACACACCTCCACGTTGTCCCCGGCCTGCAGGTTGTGTTCACGCTCCTTACCTACACACACACACCATGAAAATGCCTACCAACAGAAGGTAGGAAGGACTTGAAGACAGAGACCCCTGGTGGGCCACAGAGGTACTGCAGGGCTGTTAGATTTCTGACTCGACGTTTCTAGCGGTTCGTCCAATGAGAGAGTGATGATGTCATACCCGACTCCGTGACCACTTCCAGGTCGATTCCCTCTGGCTGGTCTTCAAACTTCTCCAGCTCAGACAGCGTGGGCTTCACTCCGTCTGTGATCTGATACAAACACAGCAGAACCTGCTGTTGTACGGGCCGGTACCGGGACCCGCAGTACTACAGGCCGGTACCGGAACCAGAACCAGACGGTGTGGACTCACCACGGCGGACATGGCGAAGCTTTTGAACAGGAACCCTTTGCGGCTGTAGCGGTTCCCCTCAAAGATCATGAAGTCTCCATCATGGCTGACCTCCCCACCCAGAGACCTGCGGCAGAATTCTTCATTCAGACCGGACCCGCTCACCAGAACCAGAACCAGGAGCATACCTGATCTTCTCGGCATCAAACAGGCGCTGCGCAGGCCTCTTGAACTTCTTCCTTTTGGCGAACCAGTCCTTCTACAAACCGGCACAGGTCTGAGTCAGAACGCAGCTCCACAGGAGAAGACCGACCAGAACCAGAACCAGAACCAGAACCCACCAGACTCATCTTGGCCTTGATCCGGTCCAGGTCAATGCGGGGAATCATCTTCAGGGAGATGGTGTTCTGACTGGGCTCCACGTAGTCCACCTGGAGACACACAGGTCACCATGACGACAACACCTGGCGCCCAACACAGCTTCCTCCCCAACACTTTCACTACCGCCTAAAGGTCAAAGGTCGCCGACACTTTCACTACCGCCTAAAGGTCAAAGGTCGCCGACATTTCACTACCGCCTAAAGGTCAGTGACCTTAGAGCTGCAGATGTCGGCTCTAAGGCTGGTGACTAGAGGGAAGAGTGGAAGAAGGAAGGAAGCGTTTAGCTGCCAGAGCTCCAGGCAGTTCTACTGCATCGGTCGTTACCCGGGCGATGTGGTTACCTGGGCGATGTGGTTACCTGGGCGATGTCGTCCTTGTACAGGCCTCTCTTGAGCCGGACCCAGCTCTTGGGCTTCAGGTTGGTGACCTCCTTGACGACCTTCAGGACGTCGGTCATCTCCTTGATGGGAACCATCTGCTGGTTCCACAGGCCCATGCGCAGGTTGCCGATGCCCTCGATGGCGGCCTTCACGTGCGTCTGCTTGTAAGACTCCACGTAGATGTAGCCTTTGACGTGGTCGGGCGCCACCACCGACTTGATCTGGAGAGGCTGCAGGCAGGCGACGCAAGGAGCAGCCAGCCATTGGTCGCTTTGTACCCTCTCTACCAATCAGAGCTCAGAATGAGGTCAGGTGACGTCTTACCGTGTCAGTGAACTGGTAGGCGATGAACTTCCTCATCAGAGCGATGGCGGTAGCCCTCTCCTCGCCAATCTGCACACAGGAAGCAAGGACAATCAGAGAGGGGGAAAGAGAGAGAGAGTGTGCGTGCGTGTGTGTTTCCGCACCTTACACTTCACAGTCCACAGGTTTGGGTCCCTGCAATATAAAACAAGTGGAAAAGCTCATGACATCATCGAGGGTCTTGATGCCGATTGGTCGAATGAGTGTTTACATACTTGACTCCAGGAAGTAGCTGCTGCTGGGTGATGTCATCAGAAAGCTCCTCTGGACCTCCGGCGTAACTAAACCACAGAAGAAGAAAAACATGGCCGTTTTTTGACCTCCTCATGTTGTTCTACCTTGTGATTAAAACTGAGTTCTTCCTTTAAACCAGCGCTTCCCAACCCTGGTCCCCCCCCCTGCTCTGCATGTTCTAGATGAGCCTCTGTTCCAGAACAGCTGATTCAAATGACTGCAGGACCATCAGGAGCTGCAGACGCCTGTTAATCACCCAGAGATACAATCCAGGTGTGGCAGAAGGGAAACACCTGAAACATGGAGGACAGGGGCCTGAGGACCAGGATGAGAAACGCTGGTTTAAACTAACTTTCTGTGGACGACTAAGATTCGTGTTCTGAGAACTGCTTTTCTACAGTTTGTTTGGAGTGAAACTTTTCAGCCGTAAAGAGGAAATTAAATTGGAGTTTCCATGGTGACCAACGAACACGCCTGTCTACTGGTGGCCTCAGGAATGAACCTGCTGCTGGTTTTCTACTGTGAAACCAGGCATGGTGAAAATTTAAGCCAGTTATTTATTTTAGAGAAAAACTGTCGCATTGTTACGACTTTGCTGCGCCAGTGTCGCATCACTACATTATCCTCCTTTCATCAGTCTCGTATTGTAAAATCATTTTTGATTGATTAGGACTTTCTCGAACTTCACAACTTCATTCTTGTAGTTTCGCATCATTACGACTTTATTACAGTTTTACCACATTTCTACGTATTCATAGCTTCAGTCTCGTATCACTACGTTATCCTCGTGTCAGTCTGGTACTACAGAATTATTATTGCATCTTCATGACTGCCGCATTATAATAACTTAATTCTTGTATCGGTTGTATTCTGAAATGAATCTCCTATTATTACGTCTCTATTGTCACATGACTGTGACTTCATTGTCAGACCCATCCTGTCCCAGTTTTTCCTTTTGAGGCAGACAGAGCATCCGTCAGTGTGGGAAGCTGCAGTCAGAAACCCTGAAGAACCTGCAGAAGTTTTCAGACTCAAACTGGTAAATCCCTGAAAGAAGCTGGATTTGAACCAGGACACAGTGAAGGTTTCAGAGTCTGGTACTCACTGCTCTCCCACAGAGGACTTGGCGTATTTCCTCATGTAGTATTCGCCCAGCGCCTCCTCCCTGGAGTCCCTGAAACACAAACAGTGAGTGAGCCGCGGCGCTGAGGAAAGCTGCTGCAGGTCGGCAGCAGGTCAGACATCTCAGGTTCACACGCTGCTCTCCTGCAGGGAAACGTTGCAGAAACAGAGAACAAGCCTTCTGGGAAAAGTATTCACTGCTAAACTCAACAACTACCAGCAGCTTGCAGTGACTGTCTTCCACACTGGTGTGGTTTTTCTGCTGGCTTTGAATTTTTCTAGATGATTTGCTGCTTTTTAACCCAATCAGAACGGTTTTATTTAAATTATTAATTTTATCTGCAGGTTTTATTTTTAATGTAGTTTAATTACAGTTAATTCATGATTTAACGACAGAGCTGATTACTTTCCCCCTGAACAAATGAAGTGATCATTTTCTGTACTTATTGAAGTTCATTTTATCTATAGATGCTCTTCACAGGTTCTACCTCCAGAGGTTCTGCAGCCGCCTGGATCCAGAATGGTCTTCATCCAGAACCACGTGGTCCAGGTTGGAAGCTGGTGGGAAAGGAGAACCTTTCACCATTTGTTTATTAGAAAACATGGAGTCCATAATGTCTGAGATGAGAGAAACTGACCTTCAGCCTCTTCTGCTCAGGAGCCGCCAGGAGGAGGAAGAACAGAGACGAGTCAGCAAACAGGAAGTGATCAGCAGGAGCAGTGATGGAGGCAGGAAGCACAACACGAGAAGCACGATGACAGGAAACCCCATTAATAATGAGTTTATGAAGCTGAGCCTCAGAACCTCAGGCTGCAGGACCAGGACGCCTGGAGGTCCAGCCGACCAGAACCAGGTTCCTGCTAAACCGACCGTAAAGGAACCGGCAGGCAGAGGAGCTGCAGGCTCCACTGGACCCGGTTCCACCTGCTGCTCTGAACCACAACATGACGAGACGAGGAGAAATCTGGAGATATCAGCTTCTCTCAGCCACAGCATTAGGAACAGCAGCAGCTTCAGGAGCAGCGATCCTCTTTTTCTCTACCGATATCCGATAACGGCGGTTTGGTATTGGCTGATCCCGACCAGATCCAGACGAACAAACGTTTGTGTTTTAAACACAGACATAAATGAACCGAGTTATTAATGTGATTAACCACTCTGCCCCGGGCCAACACGTTTAAAAACCAACAGGCTGGTCAAACATGGAAAAACAACTTTAATGTGACCAGTCAGGAGAACAAAATATTAAATATGTGACAAAGAAACTGACAGAAATAAATAAGGCACAAGGCGTAGAGCCAGACTGAATAGATCTGCTCTCAGATCAGTCTGACACCTGATCTAGATTTTTTTCCAATATCAGGACTGATGTAGATATTAATATTGGATCGATTCATGTCTATCAAAATATTTTAAATGGAAGGAGAGTAATAAGAAATCATTAAGTGTATGAAGTACAAACAACCAGCTGAAAAGTGCGGCGTGTGTCATGTTGATATTTCTCTGTTGGATGTTCATGACGATCAATAATTGCGTTGATCAGAACCCGACTGATGGTCATAATGTTGTGGCTGATTGCTGTAAGTTGCTCATTAAAGTCAAACAGCAGCAACTTATTGCCAGAAACGGTTAAAATGTGTCCAGGTCCGATGGACGAGTTAGTCTGAAAGAGAAGCAGCTGGTCCTCCAAGGCTAAAAACCACAGAAGAAGAGCTGCTCTCACACAGGTGCAGCTGTGCTGGGATGAGGTGATGGGGGGCAAAGGGGGGGGAGGGTTAAAAAATGGATGACGGTAATGATCCATTCACTTCTAATGGGAGTCAGTGACAACAAGAGCAACAGTTTACCGTTGGCTGGAGACAGCAATGGCCGCCGCAGGACAGAGAGAGGTCAGTTAGAGGTCAGGAAACACAGAGACACACACACACACACACACACACACACACACACACACACACACACACACACACACACACACACACAGAGCAACATTGCTGTAAACATTAGACCCCCAGGTTGCTCCTGTTGCTCCATTAAAGGAAACTTTCTATATAAAATGCATTTTTTAGCCTTGGATACGTTTTGTTTTGCGCTCTGAGTCTCCAACAGAGCAGAGAAGTTTATTTTACTTTATTTTTTTATTTTGGATTTCTTCATATTCTGTTGGATTGTATTTTTCTGTCATGCATGTTTCCTCTATTCCCCGTTAGGTTTTGGGCTCTACCACCTTAACTGGATCAGTAACAGCGGCGGGTCGTTTTATTCCACTGTCTCCAGCATCAAGACATCTTCAAAGTATCTGGTTACATTTTATTTTGAAGGGTCATTTCCTGCTGTGTGTATAAACGTCAGACACAGCAAAGTGCTAAGCTACATGCTAACGCTAAAATGACAACACACTATTCCAGACATGTATTTATTATGTGTTGATATGAAGTCCTGGCTGCTGTTTTGCTAGCAGTAGCATCATACCTTCTGCTAATGTTAGCACTGTATGCTAGCAGTTAGCGCCTGAAGAACCATGTTTTGAGTTATTACAGGAACAGTTTGGTCTTGAAGAATAAATGATCCATATGCATTCAGTGGTGTTGTTGTTGCTAGCATTAGCTAACAAAGCTAGGTTGAGGCTTTGTTTACGCTGTGGCGGCGCTCTCCAACATGTCAGGCTGGACGGACGACTCTGCCGTCGCTCACATCTTTTAACCAATTTCTGCCCAGCTGGACAATAAAATCTCTGCTATCAAACTTCAAAAATGGCCTAAAGGTGAAGAGAGGAACGCTGTGCGACCTGCAGGGGGCGGGACTTAATGCCACTCATTTAAAGAGACAGCACCAAAGTGAATGAGGCGCTGCAGTTCTACTTTATATGAACCACAGTTTGATTATTTACATAACAAACGGGTTTAAAACCAAGACGAGTTCACTTATCGCAGATTTAATCATCAACTTGTCTGAAGGGCAGAGCAGCCTCAGCTTCTGTGTGGTTTCCAGCCTTCATTGTGTTTTTTGTCTCACCTTTCTCCAGAATGTCCTCTCCTCCTTCCGACCACCGATCCTCATCCTCATCTTCATCGTCCACATCTGCACAGACACACGGAGGAACAGGTGTGTGTTAAAGCTCCGCCCACCCTCCAGCAACAGAACAGCCGAGGAAGAAGAGTCGCCTCCTCGCACCGGCTTCGTCCAGGATGAACCCTCCGTGTTTCGGCTTCTTCCTCGGCCGGTCGTCGTCTTCCTCGTCCTCCTCTTCATCATACTCCTCCTCATCATCATCCAGGTCCTCCCCCTCCTCATCAGCTACTTTATCGCTGCCGACAGGGCTGGCTGGCTCCTCCTGCAGGAAATGAACCCGGCCTCAGTGAGCTCAACGTGAAGGCCTCAGACAAAACAAACTTTAACACCATCAGAGGAGCCGTAACAGGAAATAAACTATTTATTTATAAACCACAGAGAAAATAAAACTCCCTGTTCATCGGAGTCCACCAAAAACACCTCCAGAGGCTTCAGTACATTCAAAGCAGTGCTGCCAGGATCCTAGTGAGAGCTCGTAAATTTGATCACATCACACCAACTCTTTACGAGCTTCACTGGCTTCCTGTAACTTATAGGATTCAGTATAAAATTGCACTTATCACCCATCACTGTCTACATGGAACCTCACCGGATTACCTGAAGGACCTCCTTACTTCACATTCAACTTCTAGACCCCTACGATCCCAATCCAGCAATCTTCTCCACCTTCCTCGATCAAGACTAAGGACTATGGGTGATCGAGCATTTGCTGTGGCTGCTCCTCGTCTTTGGAACTCTCTCCCAGACTATTTGAGAGCCCCGCAATCATTGTCCGATTTTAAAACTGGCTTGAAAATTTTCCTCTTTAGACAAGCCTTCTCCACTTTTATTTGACAGTCTCTTTTTTAATTGTTTTTGATTGTTGATTTTATGGTTTTAGATTAACCATGTCGCACTTTGAGATTTTTATTAATGAAAAGTGCATTATAAATTAAATTTATTATTATTATTAAAAGAGAAAACAATAACAATAATAAAGCTGCCATATTTAAAACATAGCTCTCTTTTCTGTTACTTTATTCAACACTGAGTTACTAATTAATTTTCAAGACTCCTGAAAATAATTTTATGACTTCAAAAAGTTGTCTACAGGTAAAACTTACATTGGTTCAAGTACAATAATAAGCAGGTACTAACTGCTTATAAATTAAATATAAATTGTCACTTGAAGCACTTTTCCACACAGACTTTTAATAATTTTTTATATTTGAAAATTGGATTTGGAAAAATGTTTGCAATTATAGTATTAATTGTGATTTTGGTCGTTAAAACACCACAATTTGTATTTTTGTTTGCCTAACTAAATCTCTGTAGAATATTAAGCCAGATGTTATGATCAGTTCCCCAGTACAGTAGTATAAACAATATTACTCCTACTGGAACTGTTCTGCTCCTCTGGTGAACCAGTGTCCGCATAGGAAGACAGCAACCTGCCATCTGGGAACGCGTTTAAAGTTGCTAACATTTGAGACCGCCAGGATTTTGGGTGAATGGGTGAGTATTCCACCCCTCTCTCCATCAGACGCAGCTCACCTCATTCTCATCCACCTCCTCGGCCTCCCCATCGCTGCTCCGCTCGCTCTGGTTGTCAGAAAAGTCGCTGTCCTCGCTGTCGGACATCCTGTTGCACCTCTGAACCGGTTACAGGACAGAAAGCACTATTAAACATCCGAACCGAGCCGAACTCCCGCTGAAAAACACAAGATTCTAGCTGAGCTAAGCTAACAAAGCATGCTAATGTAGATAGCATGACAAAAACAAGCCTCCTATGAAAAGCTAGCCTCCATTTTCCCGCCTTCAACTCTACTTCTCACCTGTTTCTATCCTCTCCTTCCGGGTTTATTCCGCTAAAAGACGAATAATTTAAATAATCGTGGATTTTAATATCTTGACGAGTGAGGTTTTACGTGAGAGCCGCGAGACTTCAGAAAGCTGCCACAGCTCTCGCGGGTTTTGGATTGATAATAGTTAAACAAATACAGAGGTCTCACTCTGCTATATTTTTTTTAAATATGTACAAGAGAAACGATTAAGAAAAAGTTTTAAACCATCAATTTATTTCAGGGGTCTTCGACTTGAGGTTACGAAGCCACGGTGATTTCTTTTCTAAAGCCACATAAAAATATATTTTATTAATATAAACGCACTAAAGATTTTAGCATTTCTTCCGTATGTAATATCAACATACAATACCTATACCACAAAGGAAACAAATGGTACAAGGCTTCTAAATTTAATTTAATTGTGGATTTGTACAGCTGGCTTTGTTCTTCAAAATAAATGTTATTCTTTCTTTGTAAAAGCTAAATATTCATTTTATTCTAACATAGAATTAATTTCCTTTTGATTTAAAAGATTCCATTCAGTACATATTCATTAAATTCATGTTATGAATGCTTAATTTTGTTGCTGCAAGGATGAACGTGTCATTGTTATCTGACCTAAAAAAGAAATTAAAGATATGTGAGGAAAATATTAGCAACAGATGGGAGCGCTTCATTCTTTAATGTTGAAATATCTGCACTGAAAGAAATAACATCCGCAATAAGAAAGTAAAAATTCCAAAAATGTATTGTTTAAAAAGGAAAAATATAAAAGTTCTGGTAGACAGTAAATGCCATAAGAAAGGCTACTAGGAAACCTAAGAATTACTCTATCCGAGTGGTCACCTTCTCCACACATATCTCTGTTACGTCGCGACGTGCCACGCTGGTTTACTTTTGTGTAAACGCAGCCAATCCTGAGCCGTGTTCAGGGACAGTCGGTGTGACTGTTGGAGGATCCTGGAGGAATAGTAAATCCCGGCCCCGGATTAATCTCCTCTCTGCGGCGTTTCCTGCCTGGATCCCCGGAGATGAACAGCGTCGGGGAGGCCTGCACGGAGCTGAAGCGGGAGTACGACCAGTGCTTCAACCGCTGGTTCGCGGAGCACTTCCTGAAGGGGGACCGGAGCGGGGACCCGTGCACCGAGACCTTCCGGAAGTACCAGCGCTGCGTGCAGAAGGCCATCAAGGAGAAGGACATCCCGATCGACGGGGTGGAGTTCATGGGGCCCAACAAGGACAAACCTGAGAGCTGATGGAGCGGAGGAACGGATTCTGGTCCGGTTCTGATCCGGAGCCGGGACCATGAGGCCCGCAGCCGGTAGCTGACTGGATCAGCGGGTCCCTGGAGCTTTGGGTTGTTCTTTAGGAGGCCTCACACACACACCTGGACTGGACTGAACTCCAGTCCTGGTTGGACTGCAGTTGACCGAGTCCAGATCTGTGAGACTGAGCAGGACCACGTCTCTGACCAGATCTCTGTTTCCGGTTGATTTTCTGCATTAAAATCGGAAAACTGATATTTTTGTGCTTTTGTTGTTGTAGCCTGCTCATCATTTCAGCTTCAACCCAAACCGCTGATCGGTTTAGAGATAAATGCATGTTGACGGTTCTCTGCAGGTGAATCTGCTCAGATAAATCAGTTTTTACCTGAACGTGTAACAGGATGTCTGCGTCACGCTGCGGTCTCCATGTCGACACGTTTCCATCCCAGCAGGGGGAAGAGAAATCAACCCCATTTTTAAGTCATATTCAGATATTATCTGAATATTTGTTTGACGTGTTTTTGTTGTTGCATAATATGTAGTTTATGAATAAAATTCTTGGTTAATCTTTATGTTTTTATTCTGAAGTTTGCGTCAAGTTGAAGCATTTCAGTTAAAGTTAATTAATTTATTTTGCTCAGAATTAAACTCTAAAGCTCAAACAGAGAAGCAGTTTATTCCCTCTCATTTTTTCCCCTTTTTGAGTTCAGAGCTTCACCTGTTTCTCTGCCTGAGAGTCAAAATGTGAAAATCCCATAAATCTAAAGGAAACTCATTAAATCAGCCAGTGGATCTTGGGTAAGATTTTCCCTGAGCACTGGCTTGCAGGCCGCCTGCAGTGCTCAGTGGGGATATAATCTATAATTCTTACTGTTCAGTTACTTCTAGATTTTATCTGTTCTCCTTTAATCAACACATAAACCTTCCTGCTGCAGCAGCAGAAAACTACGACAGCTCGACTGGGACATAGAGGTGCAGAGGGTCAGTTTCACCTTAGATGTGTTAAAAGCTTAAATGTCAGGTGGGAACAGACACCTCACACTGCAAAACCCAGGACCTGCCTGGAGGTTCGGTGGATTCATCCAGAAAACAACCATCTGACTTCCAGATCCAGACAGACGAGATGGTAATGGAGAACCAACCGGACATTGTGGTGGTGGATAAAGAACAGAGGAAAGCCGTTGTGGTGGATGTAGCAATACCAAGTGACCACAACATCAGGAAAAAGGAGAAACTGGAGAAATACCAGGGCCTCAGAGAGGAACTGGAGAAGGCCTGGAAGGTGAAGACCACAGTGGTGCCTGTGGTCATCGGGGCCCTCGGGGCAGTCACCCCCCAACTGGAGCAGTGGCTCAAACAGATCCCAGGAACAACATCAGACATCTCAGTCCAGAAATGTGCAGTTCTAGGCACAGCCAAGATACTGGAGGAGAACCTGAAGCTCCCAGGCCTCTGGTAGAGAGAGAGAGAAAGAGAGAGAAAGCGTGCGCGCGGGCACCGCTAGCTACGCTAACCCTAAAGCACTAATCATAAGCATTAGTTCCTAATGTTAAGATGCTACATCAACATGGTATTTAGTGAAAGCTAATGCTAACTTCCACCATGTTGATACCCAGCATGTCACCAGGATAACATGAGGAAGCTTCAGAGAAATTCTTTAACCTTCACATTTGTTTAATTGACACTCATTGTACTGTTGTATTTCTATCCACCTCATTTATTTGTTGTTTACTTGCTGCAATAGTTTCTTTTAAAAAAGAGAGAACAGACAAGAGGAAACAGAGCCGCTGAGTTAACAGACTTCCAAATAAGAGCATTACTATAAATATCTACTAAAATCATCCAGAACAGTCCAGAAAACTTCAACACAACTTTATTCAACTGAAAGTTTACAAAACAGTCAAGTAAATTAGCGCTTTAGAATTTATCTAAAAAATATTGGAAACTAAGTGTTTTCAAAGTTAGCATAAACTAAATGCCGAGCAAAAAGAAGCTCATTTAGCTATTAGCACATTAGCATAAGTTATCCATCACTGCTAACCACAGGTTTGGAAATGGCGCCAACATGAAGAAAATGAACCCAAACAAAACGAAGCTTTCCTGCTGCTGAGGAAACGAGAGATTTTACGGCTGAAGGGAACATGGGTCTGAAAGATACAGTTTTAACTGGAACAACATCAGAGTGAGCTTATCCATCAGCTACTGGATCTCTTGCAGATCACAAGTGGAAATCCTGAAGATTTCTGGTGTCTGAAATCACCTGGGTTTAAAAACCAGAATCGGAGCAGAACCTGAAGCTGCGATGAGCATCTGTTCCGAGCCGCCGCTTCACACATAAACACGTTTTTTATGGTTTTTGTCAGGCATGTAACAGGTCTCCCCTGTAAACGAAACAATGTTCCTGTGTAAATAAAGGATCAGAGCGCCGCACCCCGATGAAGTTTAATGTGTTTTATGAGCTAATAAAGGATCAAACGGCTCCAGTGGAGCATGTTCATAAACGCTGAACGTTGCTCCATAAAAATGTGATCCAGCCGGTTATTAATTACTGGTTGCCACTCATAGCTGTCAGTTCTGAATGAAAACAATAAAAACTGGATTTTGTTGTGAGGCCAACCTGAGATACCAGAAACATTTACAGTTGAGCTTCGATGGAGGATCCACTGAGGTCCTGATCCAGTCCGGATGAGGGGGAAGAAGAAGCCCTCATTCTATATTCGGCTCTTTTGTCGGCAGAGTGATACTTTGGAGGCTCATGGTGTGATTACAGGGTTAGGGATCACCTACACGGGGATGATGGGATGCCTTCTAGAGTAGTTATTTGACATGTAAATGGTTCCTTGTGGGATATTTCACAGGTTACAGAGTCTTTAAAGAGTTAATTATTTATAGTTTTATGTGATTACATGTTGGATACTCGTGATTCTACAGAGAATGAATGAAGCTTCGGTATTTTAGTTACTTCAGTTTGGACTGAGACCTGGCCACCGACCCAGAGAAGGGGCTCTGCCTTTTTACAACTCAAGGTCATGAACTCAGATGTGCTGATTTTTATTCACTTTCTGCGAGTCGCTCCAATGAAAGCTGGACAGATGAAGACATCATCTGCAAAAAGCAGACAGTTCTGTCCCTGAAGGCCATGAACAGATTCAGTGACTGAGGTCAACCATGAGGGAGTCCGACTCTCACTGGAAACACGTACGCAATGTGGACCGAGCTCCGACACCGGCCCACAGGAACCCAACTTCTACTGTCAAGGGGCCCGGTAGCCCAGGGTCCACCCAGGGACTCGGTCAAACGCCGACTCCAAGTCCATAAAACACGCGTATACTTAGTTACAGGTCTCATAGAGTTATGCTTTGTGTAACTCCAGAGTAGATGGAGAGGAACCGATGCAGGGTGAGGTAGCCTGTAGGACATTAGCGTAGCTTGGGAATCGATGAGGTAACTTGCAGGTTTTCTTGCAGGATATTAATTGTAGACCCAGGGGTGCAGGGTACTTCTGGGCGTTCCTTGTAGGATATCTACAGTGTTACAGGTTACATCCAGGAGTATTTACCCGTCTGGGAACCAGGTACCGCTATAAACCCGGGTCCAAGCCTGGAGGGCCAGCAACTTTTAGACAAGTCCCCGGTTCAACACACTGCAGTCAAATATCTGAATTATATCTGAAAATGTCCTGATCACACACAGAACAGCAGCAGACGTCTGGTGAACGACTCTTTATTAGAAACAGCATTTCTATTGAAACAAAGGTTCTGTGTCCTGTAAACGATCCAGCTGTGGAAGGAGCCAGGAATCTGTCGGCCTCTCCAACATTCCCACCCACCTCAGGAACCATCCAACTCCTGGAGGAGAGTCGGGTCGCTCCGGATCAACATGTTGGGGCCGAGCAACCAGAGCTTCTAGCATTATGAAACGTTTCTTTGCTCAGCTCTGAGGAGTTTCCATCCAACCTCCACCTCTGATTCTGCTCCAGCTAAGAGTCAAACCCAGAGAGATGCTGAGCTTCTTCCAGTTGGTACAGAAACAAGCAGAACATTCATGGCTCCAAGCTTTAAGTTCACCGGTCCGTCCAGAGCGAATGAACCTCCAGACTTCATCAGACGGTCCAGATCGCATTTCCTCGGCAGTTTTTAGAATTAATCCATTGAAGAACGTTTAGAAGAACGATGAGGAAATCCTTAGGGCTCTTCTCCAGGTAGAGTTCACACGGACGGCAATCCGACTCCGACTGAGGAAGGAAAACGGAGACAGGAACGTTTCACTCAACAGAGAAACAAAAAGGAAAACAAGAAAGAAGCAGTCAGAAAGACTATCCTAAACTTACATAACAGGAAAATATTCCAAACTGAAAACTGGAAACTGAAGTGAAATTGAAAAAATGTGCCTGAGTTACATAACAGAGTTAAATAATTAACTCCAGTTATCTTTTCAATCCTGTTGTATCCAGTTCTCAGGATCCTCAGTCACAGAAACCATCCGATTCGGTAAATGGTGAATTTCTCCTGACTGACTGCGTCACCCCGCCTGGTCTGAACTCATTTAGATTATTTACATAAAATACAATAAAATACAGAGTGAACTGTGGTTATTTACAGTGCCTGACAGGCAAAACGGGCAGCAAACGGTCAAACGCAACACAAAAATGTTGCAACCAGGAAGTAAATGGAGCAAAAAGGAAAATGCTGCAAAGTAAAAACGTCAGTCCTCCAGACCACCAGGGGGAGTCATCCTGGACCAGCGTCTGGTTCTGCTGAGCGTCATTCGGGTCTGCAGTTGTGCCTTTGAATTTGTCGGACGCTGTAAGTATTGCAACAGTCTCTGACAGCAGCTAGCCGTTAGCGCTCGGCGACACTGAGGCCCAAAGTCACCAGACCACAGACGGATGATCCATCCTGTCATTCCACACTCCGGCCAGCAGGTGGAGCCGCACAGCCAGCTCCTTCTACCTGGAGTGTACCTGCAGGAGCTCAAGACGTTTCCATGGTTACAGAGGGAAAGTATTCATCATCCTCCACATTTTTCTCCAGGTTTCTGATAAAGTCACAGAAAACCTTCTATTCTTAAATGAAATAAATTAATCAATAATTAATTCATTAATTAAAAACTGATTTTTTAAAAACTTATTCAGGTTTTATTTTTATATTAGTTTGTTTCTCAAACGTTTAGTAAATCTGTGAGGGGTGAATCTTTGCTGTTTAATGAACATATGGAAACATTTTGTTCTGGTGACCAAAGTTTGTTTTCCAGCTTCAAGCTGTGAGATCAGAAGCGGGCCCAGATGGACCGAGGCGCTGGTTCTGTTCAGGAAGCCGTCTGCTCCTCCCTCTGAGGTCCACTGCTCTGAATCACACGGTTTCCTCTGCAGAGATCAGAGAGAGGCGCAGGCGGACCGGACCGAACCGGACTGGACCGGACCGAACCGGACCGGACTGGACCGAACCGGACCAGACTGGACCAAACCGGACCGAACCGGACCGGACCGAACCGGACTGGACTGGACCAGTCAAATACAGACAAGTCGCAACATTGGAACCAGGCACGTGCAGAGGGGGGGTGTAGGGGGGCTTGAGCACCTGCCCCTTTTGCTCCTTGCCCCCAAGGGCCCTTTTGGTCAAATGTATTTATCTTTTGTATTATTATTTCCTAAGCCCTCTTCTGACACATAATAACACTAAAATTATTAGTTTTTTGTTGGGTTTTTTGTACAACATAATAAGCCGGTCACCTTGTTACCTTTGACCTGTTGCCCGTGACCCAGTTGCCTCTCCACAGTGAGATCAGGCGGCTAACTGGAGCTGAACGTAGCGAACGATCAGATTACAGATCAGTTTTTGGTGAATAAAGTGGAGCAGACCTGCTGCTGGTCAGATGACAGAAAACGTTGAAGTCTCGTTTCTGCTTCAGCGGTTTAAGCAGAGAGGAAATGAGATACAACAGACACTGACAGGCCTCTGTCTGCCTTTCTCTGAAGAACTACTGAGGGGAGGAGACAGCCAGGTGAGGAGAAACTGTTCTTATCTATCATTCAGGATTTTTATCATACAGGCTGTTGTTGTTGTGCTATTAGCTAGCTGCTAGCTAACGACTTTGCTAGCAAAGCTAGATAACTAAAAGCTTCTTCCCTGTATCGTCAATGATATCAGTCATTCTTCAGTATTGATTATGCAATAGGGGAACATCGCCCGTCCAAAACCGATCATCTCCATAATGGATACATGTCTAATTTCCTTTGCTGCATAATGTACATTGCATTAATTCTGGCGTTAGGTAAATGTACCTTGAAGGAGAATAGCACTTAAATAAAAGTCCAACAAGGATATTCATTTAGAATTAAAAATAACACAGCCTGAACTACCATGATGGATATAATGTATGTAATA